AATTTTTTAAATAGAATTTTTACGAAAATTTCCAAACGGTGCGAAATATTTTTATGAAATTTGGTATTCCGGTGTTTTTAAGGACGCCAAATACGCTGGTCTAATTATTTTTTGTATATTTTATAGAGGGCGCTAGTTAGGCAACATTCGTATTACATTTTAAGTTCTAATTTTTTTGAGGTTAGGTTCGAGCTCCAATTTCTAATGTACAATTTTATTTTCTAAAAATAATGTACTCTTGTTAGAATTTCCTAATGTGGACGGTTTTCGAGAAAAAAGGCTTTTACTTGAACTCTTACAATATTACGGTGAAGAAAATTTTCTTAAGGAGTAAGGAGAATACAAAATTGTTGTTTATCGTGCAGAAAACCATAAAGGAAAGAAGATAATAGAGAAAATTAAAGTCAGAGAAAAATTGTATTTGAAGAAAGAATAAGGGTGTATACGAAGCTTGAAGAATTGAGAAGACGTAATGATTCCTAACTTTTCAAAAAACAGAATTGGTTTAAATTCTATTTGTAAACGTAATCAGTAAACGTTCAAAATTTTGTCCACCGACTCGTAAACACGTTTGGGCACGCTTAATCATGTTTTGACCAACAAAAAAAAGTTATTTCGCAATAAAAATAGGTGATAGTTTTTAATTCAAGAGAACGTGGTGGCCACGTAAATAAAAGATAATCTGCTGGTACTAATGTTTGGAATGCTGTAAGTACATCGTAGGGTTACAATTTGCTTCAAATCGAAAATCCGCATCTCATTGATGACGTCACCTGCTGATAGAACAAATTTTCAGATGCAAAATACTTTATATAGTTACTACTCTGTTTCAAGTAAATTGAAAACTACTCCTAATACAGACAATTTAATTGTAATTATTTGCAAAGCGAATTCAAGAACACAAAAAAATAGGTTTTTCAGATGTAAACCAACTGCACCATGGTCTGACGAACCGGATTAGTGATGTGTACACGAAAAATTGTTACTTCACTTATTCCCACTAATCCGTAGTCATAGTGCAACAGACGAGATTGTACCATTCTTGTTGTTCCGACACCAGAAGAGGAAGAAGAACAATAACTTTATTCGATATTTTCATTGAGGTTAAACAACCAATACAAGTTGCAGTTCGACATTTACATTTCAAAGAAAATTGTTGCAATGACTGGTGTTCAAGAAATTTCGTGCAAGCTTTGCCTCAAAACTGTAACCGTTAAAGGTTTTGAGGTAATAAACAACGTTATTAGAGATATTTTAGATGTTCTTTTGCTGAAATTGGTAAGTCACTGATAGATATGCATTAGTTCGGGGTCCCTGATATGCATGGAAACGGTCGGTTGTCTCCTAAAGTAAGATAGCTATAAAAAAAAATAATAAGACACGTTTTCTTAAAGCTATCGCTATAAGTATATAGAAAAGTAAATTATATAGGATCAGTGAAAAAGTTATGTCTAAACAAAGTACCCTGTTATTATTCCATATTTTAATTCTTATCGTAATTCTAAACAAAATTCATATAGCACATCATGTACCTAAACTTAACCGTTTTCAAGGCATCGAACGTTGAAAATCATTTTCTTATGAATTATACAACAATATTTTAGCAGCAATGAAACGGTTTTCACCGCCTACTGAACTCAAAAGTTTTAAATCCGTGACGCAAACCGAAACATACAGACCTGCAAATAATTCCATTTTTCCCAAGAAAGGCTTTCTCTAGGCGATTTTCTCATGAGACAATTTTTTTCTTTTTTAATAAAAGGACCTTTTTATGCTGTCCGTTTAAAAAAAAATACGACTACTGTAAACGTTTTGATCGCTAAAAGGGGGAAGTAACCGGATAAAACTATCACCCAGTATATCGATTTGACTAAAACTTTAAGAAATAATACGCCACAATAGTCCAAATAAACGTGCCAAATTTTAACGCGATCGGTAAAAGTAAATTAAATTAGTTTTATTCTTGACAACTTTGAAGGCCTGTAACTAAAATCAAAAATTTTTTATTTAATTTTCCTTCGTAGGTCAAACGTTGTCGGTGAAATTTGCGGACACCCTGTATTTTTACGCAAAATATTCATATTTTATTTATATTTAAATTTAAACACTGTATCTCGGAAACTGTGCATATTTCGACCTGCGTTTATAGGAACTTTTTTTTTACAAAATAACTTCGGCAACCACCCCCTAAAATATTTCGCACTTTCTTACAAACACCCTGTATAGGAATTGTCGTTTTGGCACGTTGCTTAAACCTTGTTTGTGCTATGTTTCATAAACCTATGACGTCATCGAAATTATTATTTAAATAGCGCTACCTATTTTTTTAGGCATAAAAGGATAGTCCTTTTGAAGGGAAATCCTTTGACTTTACTTTGACAGATGCAAAATATCACGTGGATAATGGTGTTCCAGCAGACAGTATTTGCCGGGAGAAATTACTTGCATGAAATTGTTCCAAGTAGGTGAATAGGTCGAAGAGGACCATTGAGTGGCCACCACGTTCGCCCGATTTAACTCCCCTAGATCATTTCTTGTGGGGCTATTTAAAAAGCAGAGTTGGTAGACGCATAAGAGAAGAAATTAGTCGGATACCACCAGAGGCAATTCAAAATACCACGGATGAATTCGAACATCGACTCGCCCATTGCCCGACTGTTAATTTCTTTACATTCTTTACATTAAATTAATTAATACATTTGTCTGTTTTTTTTTCGCGCCTGTTAAAGTCAAGTAGAACAAACCCTATATCGACGCATTTCCTTTCAACAGGGCTATCCTTTTATGCCTAAAAAATTAGGTAGTGCTATTCAAAAAAAATGTCGATGACGTCATATGTTCATGAAACATTGCGCAAAGAAGGTTTAAGCAACGTGACATATTGACAATTTTTATGTACTAATTGACGTAATTTAGCGCTTTTGTGAAAACGCAACACAAAATAAAATACGAATTTTTTGCGTTACTTTTGGGATGCCCTGTATATCTCAATTCGGACATCTCCACCTCCAAATAATTGATATGTTCTGCCAATAATTTTCTTTTTGGTTAAAGTTGCCTATTTTTCAGAAATTGGATAGCGAAGGCAAAGAGGTTATATGTAACGTTTGCAGAAGAAAGTTAAACGCAGCATTCCAATTTAAGTCAACTTGTCTGAAGACCGATTACACAATTATTCCGTATGTGGATTGTGAAAAAATGTTACAGCTCGATATAAGAGATGCGTATACGAAGGAAAAGACCAGCGAGTCAATGGATATTTCAGATGGTCAGAAAATATGTCGATTGTGTATGCACCCAGTAGAAAGTGAGTTTAGGTGCATACGTGAAGAGGAACTTGAAGCCATCGAGAAATTGGCTCCTGAAATGGTATCAATGTTATTAAATAGTTACATTTTTCACAATGTAATGAAACTACTTTGCAGAATATAAATATCATCAAAGATCCCGTTGTGTGTAAGGAATGCTTTGATTCTGTGTGCACCCACAACAGTTTCCTAAAAAATTGCTTGGAAGTACAGAAAAAAATTGGAGGTATTTTTAATAGCGCAGCAACAGAGAGTCGGATAGATACGTCACCATCTGATTTATTCCTTAAGACTGAAAACCAGGACATAGAATTCGATATTGACGGGACGGAAATGTCAATCAAAGCTGAAAGTATCGACATAAAATCGGAAGATGAGGAAAGAAGGTAAGAGAAGACTATTTTAACAAAAATTTCACAAAGTAATTGTATAACTCCAGATCTTATTTAATTTTGCCTCTCTTGCATTAATTTCCTGTATTTCTGAGGGTTTCCGCATAATTAAATATTTTTAACACATCTTCTATAAAAATATTACTAATTGTCATGAAGAATTCGATTTATATGATAATAAAACTGAAATAATGTCTTGTGGAGTTCAGAAACTTGCGTAATTGCTTTTGCAATAACCCATGACCCCCTTAGAATTAACACCGCACTTGGGAAAATACCCTGTACATGTAATTTTTTCAGGGACTCGCTANGTCATGAAGAATTCGATTTATATGATAATAAAACTGAAATAATGTCTTGTGGAGTTCAGAAACTTGCGTAATTGCTTTTGCAATAACCCATGACCCCCTTAGAATTAACACCGCACTTGGGAAAATACCCTGTACATGTAATTTTTTCAGGGACTCGCTACTGCATAGCTCCGTTAGTGAATCATTCGAGAAGAGGGTCCTTAGAGATGCAGAAGAGGATGGATGTAAACATGAGAATAGATCGACAAACGAATGTAATACGAGGGACAAGCAGAATGACAAAGTATTTTACAAATGTGATAAATGTATTTGTAAAATTGGAAGCGAGAGCAGTTTTATAGCACACCGTGCGAGACACGAGAACGGTTCGGAAGCATATAAATGTGAATCGTGTGAGTCCGAAACAGAAAATAAAAAAAATTTTCAGGAACATGGATTGAGCCATAAAGATCCTTTGGAAATGCGTATGCACCGATGCGGATCATATGATTACAAGACAAAACACAGGTGTGAGCTTGCTAAGCATCAGGTGAAACACAAAAGCGCATCTGAAGGACGATTGTACAAGTGCGACTTTTGTGATTTCACAACAAAGCGGAAAGTCAGTTTTAATAGTCATTATACAAAACAAAAAAACTCAAACAATCCTGTAGAATATGACTATAAAACCAAATATACCGCATTACCGAATAAGGACACTTCACAACTGCCCGTTTATAAATGTGATGATTGCACATACGAATCAAAGGATAAGAGAAACTTTACCAGACATCAGTTGGTACACAAAGATCCTTCGCAGGTTCAAACGTACAGGTGTAATGACTGCGATTACAAAACTAAATACAAGGGTCATATGAAAAACCACCAACTGAAACACAAAGATCCTTCGCAGGTTCAAAC